AGGCTACGTTTGTGATCCAGTTACGCACAGAGCGGGAGCCGCGGAAGGAGATGACGATGATTTGGTTTGTGGAGTCTGTGGCTACGAAACCGGTGACGTCGGATTTTATGCTGTTTTCGAATTCGGAGAGGGTGTTTGTGTTGGCGGCTTCGATGAGGGGGCAGTTGCCTTGCGGGCAGGTGACTTTTGTGTTGGGGCTGTTGTTGTTGCTGAGGCAGTAGGCGGCGGCGGAGTATTGGGAGTAGAATTCGAGTTGCGAGAGGAGGGTTGAGGATACCGCTGTTGGGTGGGTGGGTTAGTGGGGGTGTTTGGTGTGGAGATGGTGTTGGGGGGAGGTGTGAATGTACCTCTGCCTTCGATCTCGACGGGTGCTGCAGTGACAGAGTGAACTGCACCGAGCAGTAAGGCTCCTAAACGGAGGACTGAGGGTGCCATGTTGATTGACGGGTATGTCGAAACGGTCAGGTCGATGTCAATATACGACAATAATGTACCGACGACGAGACAAATAACCCGATATAAGCACAAGGTGAGAGAACACACCACACGCCAGCCTGACTACGAACCTACCACTCGCGTGAAACGCGACAGACTATATACTTACCCACGCCATCTTGACTAACCTCAGCACACCAGGTCCTTCCAAGCCCTGCGCGGTGAGTATTCCCGGCGGTCAAAGTAAACGGACCAGGTAGTGGGACCATCCTGGACCATTGTGGTGATCGGCGCCCACACCAGAGCTACGGGTACCGGGGTGAGATGACGCTTGTTCTGGCGCTTGTCCAGGGGATGTCTGTGCCCAACGTGGCTATCCTAAGATTAGACATTTCGCCGCTGGGCTGGATAGACGCCACACAAGACACCATAGTGGAATGCGGTTGTTGGAGATGCCGGAAAGCTCAGCCCCATAAGATGCCGGAAGACTCAGCTTCGAGATCGGCATAACCTTAAGTGTCGCAGATGTCGCAGTCGTCGCAGTTCGTCGTCGGCTTTATCGGTAGAACTACACGTTCAACCAGACCCACCTACTCCATTCGTGTCGCCTTCCCTTTCCAAACCGATTAGTCGACGTTGTTCAGTTCGGCGCTTTTGTGTGCACGCGACGAAACGAACGCATGATCCCGCACACTACCGCATGCAGCATGCATGAAAGAAGGCGTTTACCGGCATTCAGCCACAAGCAACAGCGTTGTGTGACAGCCAATGAATGTAAATACCGAGGTATAATAGCCTGACATCAGCGATAGAGCGTCGAGTATTGGAAAGTAGGATGATGTCTTTTTCTGGTCATGGATGGAGAGTGCATTATGTTTACTTGTTGCACTGCCGCTCAGCTGTCAGCGCATTCTCAGCATGTGCTACTGCGGTGCTTGTATAAGCCGGAACGTGCGGAACTGGCTTGCACGCGACAAACGGGTATTTGTCGTGATGGAGGTGGAGCGCTCATTTGGTGGTGCTGAATGTTGCGGGGTAAGAGCATGACGTAGTCAACTTAGATGCGCCTCGTGGCTTTCGCTAACGTGGACAGGAAGGTACCTAAACAGCAACATCACGGAGCAGACCAGAAGCTGTTTGTACCCCGAACTCATGTGGTGGTGTAGAAGCAAGAAACGTCGGTGTCAGCCCCCTTCTGGGCTAGTGCACGGTACTTATGCGGGGTGCGCAACAGTCCCAATAATCGCGTTGGTGGGCTGAATGCACCCCAGGCACTGGCGTTCCTGGCTCAGCGGCTAACGTATATCTCCGAATCCTCCCAGTCGCGTGCTGCATTTCAAGTCAGCTGTCCACGGGCATGTTACGCATATGGAGAACGAGGCTTTCAAATTTTTTCCTGCTTTGGCAGAATCTTTCATTTCCACCGGCTGCGATAGATCGGGGCTAGTCGCTAAAGGTACAGAACTCCGTGCTGCTTGAGTCGTGATGTGTGGGGAAGAAAGCGAAATACGCGAAATGGCAGAACCACATGGTATCGCAAGATGTACAAGGGTGAGACGGCGAGAAATCGGCAAAAGAGAAATGTACCGTGAGGCCCAAAGCGGTACCAAAGGGGTTGAGGCTCTCAAATCTAGGCTACTTGTTACCGCGTTTGAGCACGGCACGGGCCTACTGCGGTGGGACGAAGGGTTTGACGAGCATCTCACTGAATCTGGAATCGCTGTTAGTACACGGTATCCTGAGTCGGTGTGCAATACCCACTTCTCGAGCTTCTCCTTGCCGCGCACCTCCTCGACCAACAGCGGCATCTTGACCACGTTGAACTCGTCGTAGAGCTCTTCGATCTGATCGAGGTACTTCTTCTGCATCTTCCGTCGCGCATTGCACTGCTCGCAGGGGTTGTCCTCCTTGGGGAACAGCAGCTGGTTTACGACGATGGAGTGCGTGTCGATTTCGTAGCTGTTGAGCTCCTGGATCATCCTCTCCGTCTCGTACAGACTCAGGAACTCGGGAATGCAGACACACACAAAGGTGGTGAGGTCGGCGTCCTTGAACTGGCCATTGACTTCTCCAATGGTCTCGCGCAGGTTCTCCATCTTCTCAACCAGCTCGTCCATGTTTTGTCCGTTGGGTAGTCTGCCGGATGCACCAAGGAAAGAGTTGAGCATGGGCCCGAATTGGCGCGAGAGTTGCGAGACCTTAGAGAGGGCCTTCTCCATAACGGTGGGAAATTGGAGGAAGCGCAGCGTGTGGCCCGTGGGCGCCGTGTCGAAGATGATGACTTCGTAGGACATGGACTTGACCTGCTTGAGCACTTCGGCAAAGGACATGGCTTCGTCCACACCGGGAATGCTAAAGGCCAGATCTTGCATCATGCTGCCCATGCCGCCCAGGCCCGCCATGGGATCTTGGCCCTCCTCCGCCCCGCTCGCCAGCAAGTCTTGTATACTGCCGTTGGGGTCGATCTCCATGGCGCTGAGGTTGTCGAAGCCGTTGACGAGGCGCGCGTCCTTGCCGAACTTCTGGTTGAAGGCATCCGAGAGGTTGTGGGCGGGGTCGGTCGAGATGAGGAGGACCGACTTGCGGTGCTTTGCGAGCTGGATGGCGAGAGAGCAGGAGGTTGTTGTCTTTCCTACACCACCCTTGCCGCCGACGAATATCCACCGGAGCGTCTTCTGGTCGAGGATGGACTGGAGCGTGGGCGCCATGTCGGCGTCGATGAGCGCGGTCGAGGCCATGCCTGCGTGATCGGGGTATGGCGGTATGGAGAGAGGTGGTGTATGCTGTAGAAGAAGTTGTCAGTCATGTTCTGCGCAGCCTAAACATAGTGCCTGCCTGCTTCCCGAAGCTTCGGAGGGGCAATGCAACCTGGAAGTGCCTACCTTCCGAATCTCCTCAACTCTTCAAAGCCCTTTCTGTATAGCGCGCCTAATATATGCGTGCAAGAGGCGTGGAATGACTACGGTAAGGGGAGTCGTAGTATGGTTGCGTTGTTGCAGAACAAACAAGTCGCGCAGGAAAGTTGAATGGGTGGGAATGCGGGCAGGCGCGTCATGCGCTAGTGCGCCACGGCACAGCCACATGTGGCGCTCACCCCGCCCAACTTTGTAATGATGCCACCAACTAGCTCTACAACCCCAACCTGGGACGCATCCAGCACCCCGCCGCCGCTACATGCATTCCTGAGATCCAGACGTACGCCTTACTCTAGCCCTCAAGCGAACACACGATCTGAGTCAGAAGTGCAACCTCTTGTTCGCTGCGCGCATCTTCTTCGCCGTGCAGCCTTCGCAAACAGTCGTGATTGGTAGCGCACCTTCGGCTTACAAGACGATGACCTATTGGCTCCCACGCAGCCACATGCAGAGATGAGGGACTTGTCCCGGTGTCAGCTTAGCGGCGGCTACCTACCAACATCCATTCGACCTCCAAGGTCTGCCCTTTCCTCCTAGAATATCCGTCAGCTTCACCTGTCCATCCCAACACCAGCAGCTGTCGCTCACCGGCATTTAATGTGACCAAGCACGCTCTTTGACCATTTGCGTCACAGCTTGCTACAATGGCGGCACGATCTCTGCAATACGTGGAAGATGCCTTAAACTCGTCGGGCCCGATCATTGAGGATATCACAGAACTGTGCGACTTCTGTGTTAAGCTTACAGAGAGAATCTTGGGAAACGATGTAGGCGAGAGTCAGACGACATGTGAATCGTTTTTCATCACGAAAACTACTCGAGAGATGTGCCAATTCTGCAAGCTCATTTCAACAGACTCTGATAGGACGGGGTTTTTTGTTTCTAAGCACTTCGTAAGTGACTGGGACATGGGGCGAAGGTGGAGCCCTGGGGGACCGCGATACAGCCGGATATGTGCGACGACCATCGGTAGATGCGATTTTGCTATGTGGGCGAATCCAGGTAAGAAACTCGGGTTCTGGAATGTTTGCGCGATCCTAATGATAGAATCTAGGCAGCGCTGCGTGCGCAAGCTTGACTGATCGCGCACCCATTCTTGGGTCACACATGGACGAAGTATGTCAACTGACTAAGCACTGGCTGAGGATCTGTGGCGATCACGATGGCTGCGTACTTGAGAACGACGCGAAAATGCCAACTCGTGTACTACAGATTTGTGAGGAGAACACGCAGCCTTCAGTCCGACTTGTTGAAAGCAGGGGCCGAGAAGAACGATACATAGCTCTAAGTCATTGTTGGGGCTCGACGGAAAATCGTCCACTCCGCACAACGTCCAACAGCCTCGAATCGCATCAGAATGGTATTCCATTTGAGAGTCTGCCCAAGACGTTCCAAGATTGTGTGGAGTTCTCTCAAGGCATAGGCGTCAAATACGTATGGATCGATTCTCTCTGCATCATACAAGACGATGAACAAGATTGGATCTTCGAAGCAGCAAGAATGAGGGGTGTGTACAGAAATGCGATTGTAGTCGTGGCCGCTTCAGGTGCCAAAGACTCTACCGAAGGTCTCTTCATCACCAATCGTCCCAGAACAAGAATATTCCGACTACCTTATCGCGTAAATGGAGAGATACAAGGAACATTCAACATGATGCGATCGTACGGACGACAGGACTTGGAAGCGGGTCCTCTTGAGAAACGGGCGTGGACGCTTCAAGAGCGCTATCTTGCGCGGCGTTTCCTCGCGTTCATGCCGCATGGTATCACGTGGACCTGCAAGACAACTTCGCTAGATGAGGAAGGGCGTACATGCACTCAATATATCCGCTCCGATGACTGGTTCAAGCTATTAGAGAACTATACAAACAGAGCTCTGACAGTTCCCTCAGATCGTCCCAAGGCTATCAAAGGAATGGCCGAAGAGATCCAAAGTTCACGGAAAGATCGATACACGCCAGAGTACGGTGTGTGGGAAGAGGGACTTGTACTTCAGCTCCTTTGGAGGAGTGATGGCCCACACTTTGACGACGGCAAGTTGCCTCATATTCCATCATGGAGCTGGATTGCCACGAAGGATGTCAAGGCATGGCCAGTCCATTTCAATCGGGGATTTCATGGAAAGTTCGAGCACTCAGATGACATGCCGGAAGAATTGGTGATTACCCCTGAAGGCGACCTGCGCTTATTTGGACACTTGAGTACTAAAGAGCGGGCTACAAGCTACGCACGCCACGCATGGACTGTGGAGGACCTCGACCTTGGAGTCCTGCCAGAACTTCACGCCCCTTTCTATGGCACAGAAGTTGGACGAGGCGAACATATTCATCATGTCATCACGCAAGACATGCATGACGCTTGTCACCAGACAGTTCTGGGGATCGTACGATTTGATAACAAATCAACGGAGTCATATACACACGTGTGTTTTCTTGCAAAGCAACAGCGCAAGAAGGCGGAGTGGGAGGAAGTCCCAAACGAGGAGGAGCTCCAAGACGATAATTTCCATGAGCAGAATCACCTCAACTTTGACACGCCATCGTCAGAACAGGACGACGACGATCCCAATCCCAATCCCTTCCCTAAATGCATTATTAGGGCCTACGACTGGTCAAAGACTTTCGCCGTAATGGATGCTCCATTCGTGGAAGAGCAGACTGTCGTAGGAAGTAATCCCCCTGACTTGCGCGCTAAGACTAATGTTCGATAGGGAGATGTGGTCTACCACGTCGAGCAGAACCCAATCTGTCTGTACTGGGTACTCCTTCTTGAGCACGTTGGTGAAAGCAGATTCAGACGCGTAGGTATGGGAACTCTTCTACCCGTCGCATATGAAGCCTTCCAGGTTCAACTTCAAGAGTTCGAAATCATCTAGGCTCTACAGCCTACACTAGCGTTTCACAGGAAGATCGGAACATTTGAGAGCAATGTAGACTTCTCAGTCCTATATCCCCTATCATATTATCTTCGCGTCTCTCACAGCTGGACTACACCTCACCCCACCCCCTCACATCTTCATCCCCCCAACCCTCGCCTTCTCCGGCTCCCCCTCCTCATTCTCATACAGCGGATTAACCTGCACCTCCCTCAACCACAGCCTAAACGACTTATCCAACGTCTTCGCATTCATAACCGCACAGTCCTTGACCTCCTGCGCACTCAAATACGACACCCCCTCCGCGTCACCCCCTGCAATCGCAATCGCCCGCTGCAGCAAGATACAGTTTTTCTGCGTGTATATCGCCCGGTACACCGCTTCTTCGATGCTAGCACCGAACGTCGTGAAACCATGCTTGTGCTGTAGTACAACGGGACACTCGGGGGTGAAGCGGGAGGCTAGAGCGGCGCCTAAGGATGCATTTTTGATGAGGAGGTCGTGTTCGGAGGGCGCTGACGTTCCACGTAGACTGTCCATTGTGAATACCTTAGCGCCGCCCAGGCCCATGAAGCCCGCCATGTGGAACACGGGTCGCACGGGATGCGGTTCCATCGTGCCGTGTCCTACAGTAAAAGGGATAACGTCCTCGGAATGCGAGTGCACAACGCAATTCACCTTGGGAAACTTCCTTAGTATCTCCCCGTGGATATACCGCTCACTGTATCCCTGCGGCGCGTCGGCGTCGACGGGCGAGGAGTCCTTCACCCAATACGATATAAAGTCGCTCATGTTCTTGACGAGCGCTGGGGCGCCGGGGTCGTAGCCAGCGATGATGTATTGTTCCTTGTTGAGCGGGTGTCTTACGGATATGTGGCCGAATGCGTCGACGAGGCCGTGGTGGTGCAGGATGTGGTTTGCGCGGATGAGCAGGCGCAGTTGCTGCTGGAGCTGCGGTGGTATGGACATCTTCGGCGCTCGCGACTTGCGCTCTTTGGGCTGCGGCTGGGTTGGCGTGGGCGGGCCTGTTTTGAGCGACTCTGCGTTGAGGGACTCGGCTTTCAGCGATTCGGTCCGCGCTTCTTCGATGATGGATAGTTCGCGTTGTTTTGAGGGTCGGAGGTATTCTTCGGGTTGGGCTGCGTGCAGGGGATGAGATGCTAAGGCGCGTGGATGCGTTGCTTCGGCGGCGTCCCTTTGGGTCTGTTGAGCGGCGCAGTAGTTGCAGAGTACCATTTGGCTGTTCAGCACTTGGAGGTGTGCATTTGGCTGGGTATAGAGGCTGGTTGCCTCGTCTTATGGAGTCCGCGAGCGATGTTTCAAGGTGGCGATGGAAATAGTAGCGTTTGAAACCGCGGATGCCTTGGAGTCGCTAGCACTCTTTCTAGATCTTCACCTGCGTCGCGGACTTGGTGATGTCGCCTGGATGCGATGTGAGACGATGTGAAAGGCGAATGACGCTTTGCGCCTGGCGTGCGCGATGTTGCTGGTGCATCGTGACATGGTGGTGGATGGGTCGCGGAGGTGTTGCGGGGATGCAGCCGGGTCATTGGACGCGCGTGAGGGGATCCGATCTTCTAGCGCCGTGAGCCTTCCCGCCCGCGACAGCCCTGTCCCTCACTCGCCCCACATCGCGCGGCCCCCATTAACCTTCAAGTCCGCATCTTGAAACGGAACACCGCAAACCTCAGACTCGCGACGTCGACCCTGTCTCACCAGACATTCTGTCAGGAGATTGTTATTGATCGCCACATAGCCCCGTTCAAGATGGCCGCCCAATACGTGCTGGCCGGCCTAGCAGCAGCGGGACTGGCCTTCTGGTATGACTTCAAGAGCTGGCAAAGCTTTGGTTCGGGACCCTCTCAGCCTGAATAAATGCGATTGCTGAGTCGCCGCAGGAACTGGTGGCACGCCTCCAACATTACAAGGCTACATCAAGATCCGTCGATGGGGACTCTACTTGCTCTACACGCGCCAGAACCTGCTCGATGCATCTCCAATTCCCGATACGGGCGCGTCTTACATCAATCCTCAGAAGGTGCCGGACCGCGTTGGCAGTAGACCAGAACTTACACGCTGGACGCTGCCACAACGCCAGTTCCCCGATAAGATCACACCTGCTGCTTCCACGACTCTTCACGATCTCATGCGCGAGTTTGCGGATACAAAGGCGTACTCGGAGTACATTGAGACACGACCGAGCAAGACCGAAGGCGGAACTGGACCTGCCATATACGTCAAGCCAGACGTCAAGACCATCAACCCCGTCGCGCACAAAATCTTCTACGAGGTCGCGCACGTGCATCCAGCCGAGAACTCACTCCACGTATACGTGAGCCCGCAAGACGCGAGACTGGTGATGAAGAGGGGCTGGGGACAGCGCTTTCCAGTGACCTGGTTGGCACCGCCGAGCTGGATCATGGTGTATGCGCCGAGGAACGAAGAGGAGGTGGAGACTGTGAGGGAGATCGTCAGGGCTGCAGTATGTCATGCTGTCGGGATGAATGTCGATGCTGGAGTTTAACCAAGCGGAGGCGCGACACGCGACGGTGCTACTCAGGGTCAGTATAGTCGAGCGCAATTGTCCAACCCGTTTCATGACTACACTTCTCGGAGACGTTTAAGCCCATGCGTAAACTGTGTTGCGTTCGATGTCTGGGCACGGCACTGAAGAGGAGAACCGACGCCGGACGCTAGTAACAACGGCGCCCGCCGCATCCGCCGCATCTGCATCGCATCCCCCACTCTCTTGCGCTAGCTTACACATGTCGCCCGGCTTGAACGACCCTGCAGCATGGCTACGATCTGGCATGCAATGTTAAGACTGCTGATGCCGCGACACACTGTCTCTTAAACCTGTCATCGTGTCCTGCCTCCACCGTCGCAACCTCACACTCCCCATACCCCACACCGCATTTATCCAACATGGGTAGCGTCGACACCAGCCTGAAGGTCATCGTCATCGGCGCCGGTATGTACTATCCCCTCTACACAACAGACCCCTACTAACCCACCAAGGCCCCGCCGGTTGCGCGCTCGCCCACGGCCTCAAGAAAGCAGGCATCTCCTTCAACATCTACGACAAAGGCGCCGACGTGTACCGCCATCGTCACTGGGCCTTCACATTAGGCTGGGCACGACCCTACCTCTTCGACCTCATCCCCGAAGAGCTCAGCGCGCAGATCAACTCATGTCAAGTCGACCCGTACGTCGATTGCGCCGCGCTCGGCGAAGATAGGATTGTTATATATAATGGTCAGACAAGAGAGGAGGCGTTCGCATTTCCGATACCGCAAGCGCGCGAGATTAATATTAGAAGGTTGCGCATGTTGTTAGCGGAACAGTTGGATGTTAAGTACAGCAAGAGTTTCTCGCACTACGAAACGACGGAAAGTGGCGGAGTGAAGGTACACTTCGAAGACGGCTCGACCGACGAGGGCGACATTGTCATTGGCATTGATGGCGCCATGTCAAAAGTGCGCCGCTGTCTCCTCCCCCACTCCGGCACCATGGACACCCTCCCCTTCGCCCTAATGAACTTCAACGCTTCCTACACCGCCTCCCAAGCCCTCTTCATCAAAGAACACCTCCACCCCCTCGTCGACATCGCGATCCACCCCCAAGGCCACTACATCCGCGCAAATGTGCTGGATATGCCCGATGAGAAAGACGCGAGTACCTGGACGTTTCAGATCCTGTCTACGTGGCCGCTGAAGTACGTTGAAGATCACGATAACGAAGACGGCCGGTTGGAAAGGCTTAAAGCGCATGTGAAGCGCGATGGATGGGCGGAACCGTATAAAAGTGCTATTGAATGGATACCAGAGGATACACCGGTGCTGCGCGATCAGCTCAAGATATGGAAGACGGTTCCGTGGGATAATCACGACGGGAGGGTTACGCTGTGTGGCGACGCAGCCCACGCCATGACATTTCACCGTGGGCAGGGTGCTAATAACGCGTTCTACTCTGCGCATTGCCTTGTTGAAGCGTTGAAGAGCGTGGCAAATGGGAGTGCGAGTTTGAAAGAGGCGGTCACAAGTTACGATGAGAGTATCTGGAAAAGAGGCGCGAATGAAGTGCAGATTAGCAAGGCGCAGACGTTTTTCACGCATGATGGGTTGGAGGAGTTTGTTAATAGTCCGGTTATGCGGTTGGGGACGAAACCTAGTCATGCTGCGAGGACGGAGGGGTATCAGTAGCTATTTGGAATGATATTACTAAATGCAATTACTCAAACCTCCACAGACGCTCTTCAGGGGCTTCTTTCGACGGGACTTCTTCTTCCACCGGATCTTCAACAACATCATCATCCTCCTCCTCGAATTCTTCTGATGGTTCTGGGCTTGCCTGCTCACGGTCCGAGTCTGTGTCAAGCTGCAAGAACTCGGATTCAAGTTCTTGCTAACGTTAGCATCTAGTCCCTGGTAATGTGTCACCACACGGCTATGTCGCATGCTCACCTTGTGGAAGAGGCGAGATGTCTTGCACGTTTTGAAGAGCCTTAAGCCCATCCTCTAGTACCCTGAGCTTTTCGCTAGAACGCGCTCTCTCCTTTGAAGATTCTTCGCTCTCCGCCGCCAAAGCAGCCACTGTCGCCTCGTCAAGGTCAATAACGTCGGCCGGCGAGAACAAGGTGGGGAGCTGCTGGATGAAGCAGGCTTCGACAGCGAGCACGCTGAAGTCATCGATGATTTTCTTCAGCGCAACTTTGTAGTAGGCTTCCATGAAGTCGGTGGCGGTAAAGCTAGCATACGTGTCCATGTCCGCCTCGCTCTTCCTGACTAACGCATCAAATAATGCGTCCATGTTAAAGGTTATAGTGACATTGCCCTTCTCGGTGTGATCCGCGCCGAATAGCCGCTCCAGGTACGCTTTGACAGCTCTAGCTCGTCGTTTGCTCTGCGCTTTCTGAACATTCTCTGTCAAGTAATGGTTGTACGTGATGGGGTGACCGGTATGGTGAGGCTCCAAGAGTTCTGCTATCTTGTCACGGAGTGCGGTGGTCAGTTTCTCTAATCGAGGCTGGATGAACCGCCTTGATAGCAGGCCCAGGGTTCGCTCATCACAGACGTGCCCCAGGGCTCTGCGAGCCACATACTGGGCAGCACGTACGATAGTCGCGGAGTAACGATCGATCAGCCCTCCCCATGGCTTTCGCTGATCGTGGAACAGTTGCCCGACAACAAGTGGATCGAATGTTCCGGGTAGTTCTCGGCCTCTGGTTCGTTCCAGTAGTTTGGTGACCCACGCAATGTAGTCTGCGCGCGAAATTTGGTGAGGCGGCTTAGTTGGGCCGTCGTCAAGAATGGTGAGAGCGTGCCCTTTTTTTCGCATGTCCGCCGCGAAAGCTGACAGGGTGTTCTGGAGAAAAGCCCGCAACCGCCTCTTGTAGCCCTCATCGGCAGAAGCTTCACCAAAGAAAGGGTCCCAATATTGCCCGTCGATGGCAGCTTTGATAAGCGAGCTGAAGTACTGACTGACTTGCAAGAGGTAACGTCGCTGCTCGTGAGGCGCGGCTCTGGATGCGCCTAGGGTGTTCAATCTCTCCTCACATTCTTTGATACCGTCTTTGATCTGCGCAAGCACATCCGGTAGCTGGGATACGATGTGGTCCCTGAGAATCTTGCTAAGTCTCGGCTTGAGTGCATGGACCCCGGTCTGGTCGGATGGAAGCGCTCTCCAGATACCAGTTTCGAAGAACAGAGCTTCGACTTTGTCTCGTTCTTCTGTGGTGGAGTCCTTGGAGTTATAGTCCCTGTTACGAAGCACGTGCCAGCCTAAGCGGAATTTAACGTCTTTGTTCTGCGCCACTTCAAAGTAGGATCGCTCGCTATCAGATCCTTCGTACAGCGTGTCCGGTTTCGTGATCAGCCCAAGGGTTCGTTCCCCGCGTGGATCGATGTCGCGACAATACCTAGTAATGATTTGGTTGCTAAAATCATTCTTAGCGGATACGACGGCGAGTATGATGCTACGTGACTTCTTCATGTACGAGAGTACAAGCGACTTCACGGTCTCGGCATCCGCGTCTGATTGGGAGCGACTCCCAGCCTGGAACAAGCCAGGCAAATCGACCAAGGTCAGATGTGGTTGGTCGGGTCCAGATAGCTCCAGGCGAAGGATGTCGGAGCTGAATACCTTGCCATCCCCTTCCGCAATACCCATCGTCGCTTTCGCTTCTTCAATCACGGGCCCGAGATCGAAGCCTTCCAATGCGCCGGAATAGTGGAAGTTACGCAGCTTGTCGAGATCGTTCTCTGAGCGATCTTTCTCATTCGATCCGGGAACAATACTGATCTTGATTGGTGCATCTGTGCCTCGTCGGAGGATAAGCTCCGTCGCGAACCTGGTGCACAAGTTATCTTTGCTGGGGAACTTGACGCCTGAAACCGCTTCGAGGACTGAGCTTTTGCCGGATGACTGCTCGCCGCATACGATGATCTCGGGGAGGTCGATATACTCATTGATTCCATGTGATCGGAGATTGTCGACGATGTCCAACAGATCCTTCGTCTCATGAAATTGTAGAGACATAATTGCGGTGTTGTAGGCGTTTCATCCCACCTGTGTTGGTAATAAAGCAAGGAAGCAGATTGAAGTTTGCTATAAGCACAAAGAATACGCGATCGATGAAAGCGCGGAGGATATAGATTTTGCGTGTGACACGGAGACACAGAACGAAACAGATCGACTTTTTAAGAACACCGAAGGGCTTGGAGCCTGAGGATTGTAGCTGTCACTGCCTGACAGGAGTGCGCGTAGCTGCCGCTGGTGGCGCGGGGTGAGTCGAATGATAGCCTACCACGTCTCGCTTCTGCGAGGCATCCGCCCGCATTACACCCCAGCATACGGCACGAGAAGTTGCAGACCAGTGCAAGCTGAGCCTTGTGGGCATGCGGCGCGCCCAGCGATGCGGGGAGGTGAAAGAGGCAATGATGGTTGATAACGCGACGGGCCGAAGACCCCACTGTGTGTGCCTTGCGAACCCCTGTGGACGTGACATACTGCGGACGATGAGGCGATGATTCGCTATCGACGATCGCATGCTCCTGCACATGTTGCGCGCGTCGAACGAGGCAATACATGTCGGCCGGCTGGAGGACAGAGCCCCCGCTGAATGTGGCACAGTAGCTTCCGGACCGTCGCAGGCATCAGGCTGCAGTGCTTGTTTGACGCCGGGGCATGTCGAAATCTCTGCGCCATCGTCGTGTGCGCCGGCGGCTTCGATAACCAAGACCGCAAAGGTCATGATAATTTTGAGGTTGTAGTTGCTCACGGAGCGTGAACGCCTTCCCGGGCAGGGCGCAACAGCGGACACTAATCTCGGTAGCCTAACCCGAACAGTGCTAATGCTTGGCGCCCCGCGGACATTGTATCGGTCGCCTCTCCACTGTCGGCCTGGCACGCCTCCGTCCTCTCTACGGTAGTGACTGCCTGTCCCGACGCAGCCTTCGGCCTATCATGCGAATTCAACCTTGCGATATGGCTCCATCAATCCGCTCATAGCGTCTCGCCTTGCGCAGCCACCCCTCGGTTCCCCCCAAGAATCAATGTCACGTGTATCCTTCGTGATCGATTAAAGATTAAAATCGTTCTTCGCGGGAACGACAGCGAGTAGTCTTGTTAGTCTTGTCCTAAGTCAAATGTAGGGCAACGCTCGAGGCTACGATGCCTTAGTATCTTAAGAACTTAAGCCTTTTAGACCAACGTAGGCGGTACGCCTGTTTGGTGTTCTATTTGTACAGGTGCAGAATACACAAAATAAGCCTATAGTTGTTGTAAGTTTTAGAGACGCAAAGAATGCGTTGATAGATTGCGAATAAACGTCTGCGTCAGGCGATAGTTCCACGGCTTGTCTAAGTAAAGACTGCCTAGAGCCTACAGTGTGTAAGCCTTGTAACCGAAAAAGAGTGCGCATAGCTACCGCCAGTGGCGCAGCGCTGCTCGAATAACTACCGCGTCTAGCTCTCGAATGCATTCGTCCGCGTTTCACCCCAGATCCCGGCTCGAAACGTCGCGTTTGAGCGCCTGTCGATTGCCATCGACATGCAGCGCGCCTGCATCAGCGATGATCAGTAATATAACAAGTAGAAGAGGCTTCAGAATTGAGGCCGCGACTAGTAGGGAAACATCCCGCGGGGTCCATAAGAAGCCAACAACCGTTCTGTTAGCCAGGTTTCAGCTATTCGCCATCGATGCAGCAGTTGCTAGTCACTATAACATGACCAGAACGCGGCAGTGTATGTTGGCAGTGCCAGGCTGCAGCGATCCCACAGTGTGGCACCGAACGCTGACTTGTTTGCTGACGTAGACAGCAGCGTCCGGGTACTGCAGAATGTCGCATGTATTAGGTCATTGTCAAGTTTGTGGGCGGCCTTGAGAAAACCTCTCTTCTCATGTATGAGGTGGTGAAGTCAAGGTTACGACCATGGCGCGGGGGCCTGTCGGGCGCATCAAAGCGGCCGCTAGCTAGATTCAGTCTTACCCGAACAGGGCTGCCCAACCCGGCGAACATCGTCCGGATCGCGTAACCCCCGTTTCCGATTGACCATATCAGCCCGCCCGCTGTCACTCTGCGGCGTCGACTGCCTCTTCCGCGACCTTCCACCCACCGCGCGAATCAGATCTTTGCGACATGGCTTCATTGATGTGCTAACGGCGTCTCGCCTCGCGCAGTCACCCGCGGCTCACGACGACTCATTCTTCGATCGCAACCTTGGAAAGCTCTGGAATGGAACCCCATGCGTGCCTGCGACCTCTGCTTTGGAGCCCAACGCCGCGCAACGCTTCCTAAGGATCACAAGGGACAATCCGACACGCTTGGACTGACAGCAGTAGCGTGGAAGCGGCGTGCATCACAGATAGCGGAACAAGCCGCAAGGGTCAGTGAGAGTACTACTCCCATTCGCACGATAGACAATTGTGTTGCATACTGGCGAATATCTCACAAGCCTCGACGCGACGTCAAGGAACAAGTCAATGGCAACCATGACAAGACGGTGCGATGGATCCGAGATGTTTGATGTTGAAGTTCTCAACAGATGCGGCTCAAGCGGCAGCTCCTGGTGAGGCCGCGCAGATTTAGATCAGCCACATGGAACCAACCAAGAACACTTGGAACCACCCTCCCGGAAATTGGCCCAGTTTCCAGCCTTCCGTGGGTTTTCACCGAGCTTCGCGATTACCAAGCGATCGAGTAGCATCACGTCAAAGGATCGTAATTCGAGTCAGGGTCCAGCCGCTGTGGAGACGGATTGTGGATCATCCATGGATTGCTCGCGTGTCGCCCGCCTTACGGAAAATCCTTCACCGACACAGGCCATTCTCTTGTCCCTGCATGCATGGCGCTCGTGTCGAGGTCTTATGGCAAGTCATGTCAGCCCCTATGGAAAAGGACGCGCCGAAGGGTTCACAGTTTACATAGCCGTCTCCCCGCATGGTGAGTCTAGAGTTGGACCGATTTCTAGACCACATTTCCACCGACAACCATGCCGCGAGATGATCGATCCGGAGAGTTCACCGGTGTCTTGGGCTTCTTCATCTGTATCTGCACTCTGCTAGTACTGCTTCGATGCTACTGCAAGCTGGTCCTCGTGAAGAACTTCGCGGCCGATGACTACTTCTCTGTTCTTACCCTGGCGGCCTTCTTGGTCTATTGTAGCTCCGCGCTGCTAGGTGTCCAGAATGGGACCGGGAAGCGACGATATCTCATCCCGGATGAAAAGTATCCCATCGGTATGAAGGTGTGTAATACTACGTCTACAGTATATTCCATGAGGCTAACAACTCGAACCAGTGGTGGTGGACTTGCGAGCCCACATACGTTGTCACGAATATCTTCCTCAAGATGAGCATCGGCATCTTCCTTCTGCGCATTGCCCAGGATAGAACCCATCGCATGATTCTTTGGATCGCCCTCATCGCCATCCAAGTATACAGCGTGTACTTCTTCTTTGTCTTCACCTTCCAATGCTGGCCTGTCTCGTTCTTCTGGGAACAGTTCCGCGGCGGCAAAGGACATTGCATCCCCTCTAGGTTCGTCGTGAACTCGTTCTACGGCTACTCTGCACTGTCCTGTGTCACGGACTGGACTTTCAGTATTGTCCCAATCTTCATCGTGCACAACTTGCAGATGGACAAGAGGAAGAAGATGACAGTGGTTGTTGTACTCGCCTGCTGCGCTATGTAAGCTCATTCCGCCTCTAGAGTCTTCCTTGCATCGTATGCTAACTCAACACCAGTGGCTCCACCGCAACAGTCGTCCGCATCCCATTCATAAACGGCCTCAACGATATACCCGACTTCCTATACACTACCACCGACGTCGCGATATGGTCTACCGTCGAAACCGGAATCGGCCTTGCGACCTCCGCCGCCGCTACGCTCCGTCCCTTGCTCCGCCAGGTGTTTGGCGAAATTTCCACGCATGATAGCGCCTCTCGCAAGCACTCGCGCATGTGGAATTCCGCCCACCCTTCACGATCAGGGTACCTGGAACAAGGAAGCCAGCAAGGCGGAAACGATATCCAGCTCAGTAATCACGATTCGAAACATCATACTGTCCATGTTACCAGCGGGAATGCGAGTCCGAGTGGGAGTACGATCGAGTTGAACATGGACTGGGAGCAGGACAAATATAATGCGTCGGCTGATGCAGCTGCAGCGGGGCACAATGGGATTATGAGGACAGTGAAGATTACGCAGATGTAGAATGGGTTAACTTATAATGAAAGCTATTGCGAACCAGCGTGTACTCAGCCAAAGTCCCTCGCGAAAAGACTTCAAGTTCGAGCGCGAAGCCCAGAACAAGGCAATTGCGCGAGCGAGGGGTGCGCTTGGGCATTGGTACTTTTCCTTGCCGTATTGTCGTGAGCAGCCCGTGCCAAGACCGGACCGCAGTCTGGATCAAAGGCGCACTCCACACATTCTGTCGTGGAGATTGAATTCTTTGCGAATTACTTCTTGCATCGTGGAGCTCACCCCTGTGGCGCAGAGGGCGGGCGCTAGTCGCGGCAGCCTAGCCCAAATGGTGCTGATTTTCGGCGGCTCCGCGAACATCGTACGGCTCCGACAATCTAGATCTCCTACATCCTCCCGACTAACATCACAACATCCCCGAAAGCGTGCATGGCTTCCCTATTGCGGCCTTCAGCTCATCGCATTGAGTTCGCTTTCGCGAGAGGCCTCCATTGACACGCTTGTGGCTTCCGCGTGGTGTAGCTCTACCTTTCGGTCGAAGCGGCGACCTTCACGACAGCGGTGCAATCATGAGCGCCATAAACATCCTCTTCATCGCCTTCGACATGAGGCATCGCGCACCTTCTCTCATTGTTTTCTTCGTCAGACATTGTCCGGCAGCCCTTCGTTTCGCCGACTCGTCACTCGTTCAGTCTCGTATCAAACACCATCTAACTAATAATTCTTAACCTATAACTCGGCATTATGCGATCAATTCTCTTCGCGTTCCTTGCTGCTCTCTCTATTATCAATGCTGCTGTGAGCAGTCCGCGCATTTCCAAGACCGGCCGCTGCGGAAGCAGCTTTGGTCTGACGTGCGCCGGTTCCTCTTTCGGCAACTGCTGCTCGCAATACAACTACTGCGGCCAGACTTCCGCTTATTGTGCCCCCGGGTGCCAGTCGGGCTTTGGGAAGTGTAATACCTCGCCTGTTCCGATCTCAGCAAAGGTGTCAAAGGATGGGATTTGCGGCGGAAAGAGTGGCTTCACGTGCTTGAAGTCTGCATTCGGCAACTGTTGCTCGCAGTGAGTCAATCTTGGAAGACACGGTATCACGTGAACAGCTCGCTAATCACAACACACTTCCAGATACGGATACTGCGGATCGACTAACGCGTACTGCGGCTCAGGCTGCAACCCTGCTTTTGGTTCCTGCTCAGGCCCAGCTGCCACTACTTCTGCTATCACGACGCGTTCATCGTCGACATCAACTCGCGCTACTTCCACCGCTTCATCGCCCGCCACGAAACCCGTTACTCACAAGGTCTCTACCAATGCGCGATGCGGAAATGCCTACCAAGCGTCGCCCCTCGGGATGACCTGCGCTGGATCCAAATGGGGTAATTGCTGCAGTAAATACTCATACTGGTACGTTCGGTGATAACATCCTCCGTCGCATGCTACTGTATACTAATGCGCGACAGTGGAAGTACTGATGCATACTGTGGTAGCGGCTGCCAGCCAGGTTTCGGCAATTGCAGGCCTGCAGCCTCGTCCGCATCGTCCGCGTCGTCCACGCCTGCGAAGGCCTCAATCCCACCGGCGAGTGCAGCGCCAACCACGAGCACACACGCAGGTTCAACATCCGCCTCGCCGTCAAGCATCGCGTCGTCTTTCATCACCTCGTCCGAGGCCACGAGCGCATCGCTCGCCGACCCTATTCCATCTTCTTCATCCACGATTCCGTTAGTCGAAAGCCTGTACCCAAGTACTTTCACAACAAGCACAAGCACATCGGCTACCGCAGTGGAAATCTCATCTTCGCTGGAAGCCACTCCAGAGTCAACAGCGGCCTCGGACATCGTCTCTGCGCCTAGCGGGCTTCCAATCTCACTCGCATCGTCTGAGGTCACCGCCTTGACGGACTCTGTCACCAGCTCCTCCAGCGTCCTGGCTAGCCATGTAGAGTCACATACCATCACTACCGAGCTTTCGAGCACAGCTGCAATGCCGCTCGAAACATCAGAGGCCGCTTCATCGCAAGTCGAGACTGTCTCTTCCGTCGCGTCGATTACCGTCCTCGAGACGTCTGTCGAGCCGACCGCCACGCCCACGCCAGTATCCACGGAATCACAGGCTGCACCGCTACAGACCGAGACCGAGACCATTTCTTCCACCGTTGCCCCCGTGATCAGCGCGTCGCCATCGTCGGAGTTTGTCGCGTCCTCCGAAACCACCACCACACCAACCCAAGAGACCGCAACGAGCTCAGTGGCCGAGACGCCGTCGCCACTCCCGGAGATACTCGTTTCCTCGTCCCCAGCGACTTCGAGCGTCGCGACATCCACCGCGTCGGCCCCAGCAACCTGCAACACGCTCGCCGCGAGTTACAATCCATCTTTCGAAAGCGGAGCCATCGCACCCTGGACCAATACCTACGCCACCAATACTTTGTACGGCAAGACCGAGGTGCTTTCCGCTGGTGTGGCACCCTTCGCGCCGCTCGACGGATCACATGCGCTTTACACCACGTTGACCAATCGGTACACGTGAGCCCAGGTGTGGAGGTTCACGCTCGACAACGTCTACATCCCAGCCGGCAGCAACTACAACTGTACGGTCGGGTTCAAGATAGTTTAGGCCGACAATCGCCCAAGATACACCGTGCAAGCCTGTCTGTATATCGATAATCAACTCGTGTATCATCCCCAGAACGGTGCGTTGAACGGTTTGTTCACGGGGTCACCGACGAGTCCGGAAGCGGCTGTTTGGAACACGGTAGGCGGTTCGGGAGTCGCGAATACGCAAGACTAGCATACCGTCTTAGTTCTCGTTCTCTTCAACAATGCCAACATTCTCGCTGCGGGAACAACTTTCGCGATTGATAACCTGCAGTGCTTTCCGACGGGCCAATGTGCGATGTAGATAGATTAGACAAGAAGTAGAATACAATATAGAAGAGATCTACATACTGTACGCAAGGTATATATTATAATTTAAGGCCCGCGTTGTTATAGACTAGCCTACCTAAGAGAACGTCTTAGAGCTGCTAGGCCTAAGTAATTTTTAGTAAGAGTAATAAGCACTAATAAGAAATAGAGAGTAGCTCTAAAGTAGTAGCTCTAAGGCTTTTAAACTTTACTACTTAAGAGTCTAGATAAAATTTAAGTAGGCTATTTTGTGTAGAATTACTACGTAAATTTAATACTATACTTAGCTTATTAATAGCTACTTACGTTATAAAGTTATAAAGTAGAGAAGTTTAGAGTAAAATTTTAAAGTTTTTTACGTAATTACTATGCTTACTACTAGTATAGCCTACGTATAGCTAGAATTTAGCGCTTATAGCTAAATTTTAATATCTATAGCTAAATTTTAAGCTTAAATTAAGACTAAAATTAGGCGTTTATAGTTAGAATTAGTTACTAAATTAAGTACTTAAAATAGACGCCTCTATAGCTAGAGATTAGTACTTCTATAGCTAAAAAAAAGTATCTTTATAGCTAAATCTAACGTCTATAGCTAAATTTTAACGCTTATAGCTAAATTTTAAGCTTAAATTAAAGCTAAAATTAAGTATTTATAGTTAGAATTAGTTACTAAATTAAGTACTTAAAATAAGCACCTCTATAGCTAGAGATTAGTGCTTTTATAGCTAAAAAAAAGCGCTTTTATAGCTAAATCTAATATCTATAGCTAAATTTTAATACTTATAGCTAAATTTTAGACTTAAATTAAAGCTAAAATTAGATACTTATAGTTAGAATTAGTTACTAAATTAAGTACTTAAAATAGACACTTTTATAGCTAGAGATTAATACTTCTATAGCTAAAAAAAAGCGTCTTTATAGCTAAATCTAATACTTATAGCTAAATTTTAATATCTATAGCTAAATTTTAGGCTTAAATTAAAACTAAAATTAAATATCTATAGTTAGAATTAGTTACTAAATTAAGCACTTAAAATAGGCGCCTTTATAGCTAGAAATTAGTATCTTTATAGCTAAAAAAGAGCACTTTTATAGCTAAATCTAATATCTATAGCTAAATTTTAATACTTATAGCTAAATTTTAGACTTAAATTAAGACTAAAATTAGATATCTATAGTTAGAATTAGTTACTAAATTAAGTACTTAAAATAGGCGCTTCTATAGCTAGAGATTAGTGCCTTTATAGCTAAAAAAGAGCGCCTTTATAGCTAAATCTAATACTTATAGCTAAATTTTAATACTTATAGCTAAATTTTAGACTTAAATTAAAGCTAAAATTAGGTATTTATAGTTAGAATTAGTTACTAAATTAAGTACTTAAAATAGGTACCTCTAGTATTAAATTTAGTGCCTCTATAGCTATATATACTCTATTATACTTAGTATTAGTAGCTAGCTAGTCTAGAATATTATTTCTCTAGCTCTAGAGCGTACTAGCTCTACCTTCTTTTATTATATCTTACTACTTATTATCTTTATCTTTCTATTTACCTTTTTACTAAATTACGCCTTAAATACTTTATTTTATTTTACTATAGTATACTACTTCTATATCTACTTACTTACGCTTTCTCTTTTACTAGAATTATATTAACTAAATACGCTTACTTTAAAATTAACACGTCTCTACTATAAACGTAAGCTCTACTACTACTTTAATCTACTTCTCTACTACTTTTATAATCTTATAAGAAGCTAAAACTAAGTAATTTCTTTAAGCTTAGTAGTAGTGTAATAACTACTAGCTCTTCTAAAGACTAGAGCACTACTAGCTTTTCTAAATACTAGAGCACTACTAGCTCTTCTAAATAATAAAGTACTACTAGCTTTTATAAATACTAGAGTACTTTACTTTCTACTATATTCTTCTATACTAGTACTATTACTACGCGCTATAGTAATCTTACGTAGATAGCTAAGTAGCTATTCTATAAATTTAAAAAAAGTACTATTTATATTAGATTTCTTATATAGCTTATTTACTACTATACTAAGAAGATTATAGCTATCTATAAAGAAAAGAAATATCTTAAGAAATTAGCTATACACTATAAGTAAGAGATAACTAAAGCTAAGAGTAAAGTTAAATTATACTATAATAAGATATAGAGCGTACGTAGAGAAAGTAAAAGGTATTAGAAGTAAGTTAACTTCTTAGATAAGATAGTATATAGAGCCTATAATATTATTAATAAAGCTATTTATCTATACTCTACTAGTCTATCTAAGTTAGATAAGCTAATTAGTAATTAGCTTTCTTTATATTTTAAACTTATAACGCTACCTTTTATATTAATATTCTTTTTTCTATTACTATAAAGTTATAGCTCTACTTTTAAATAAATAAAAAGTACTATTAAATTTATAAAGTATAGCCTATAGTATAGATATTATAAAAGTAATTACGTAGCTAAAAACTTTACTTCTTAGCTACTTTATAACTAGCGCTTTTACTAGTCTTTAGACTAATACTCTATCTATAATACCTATAATAGCTCTATCTATCTACTAGCTCTAAAGCTTAGCGCCTAAAATTTAAAATCTAGGTAACTACTTAAGCTATCTACTAGTATACTAAGTTTTTATCTATAAAGACTATAGCGCTATCTATAGTTAGACTAGGTATTTTAAGAAATTTTACTAAGTTAAGAAAAAAGAGTAGTAAGCACTAGATAAACGCTATTAGATTAGTACTCTTCTACTTACTAATCTAAAAGATATTACTTTTCTACTACTAAATTAACTACTAATACTACTTCTAGGCGCTCTAATTCTAGTCTACTTTTATATCTATATAAACTATATATTTATTACTAAGAACTATAATAAGATTTAGTACTATTATAATAAAGCTTATAACTAGAGAATAAGCCTTTAAGACTAGAAGCTTTAGACTTATATTTAAGCGTAGATATTCTTTTATACTAGTAGCTTTTAGAAATACTTTAAAGTATAATCTATTACTAAAAATAAAAGTAGTACTCTTTCTAGTAAAATTTTACTTATATTATAAGAAATTTAAAGTTTATAAGTAAAGTATATAAAGTTACTTACTATAGCTAATACTATAGTTATAAAGACTAACTATACTAGCTAGTTTAAGAGAAATTACTAGCTAATTTATTTTACTAAGTATAATTTTTTCTACCTTTACTAGGTAAGCTATATACCTAATAAAGATAATACGCTACTTACTTAGGTAGCTACTATTATTAAATAAATAATTAAATAAGTAGTTAGTAAGCTTTCTACTCTTAGACTTAAGAGTAGACACTAGTTATAAAGCTCTAATACTAAGTAAATTAATCTATACCTAATAGTACGTTTATAAAATCTAGAAAGCTAGAAGTAGTATACTAGGTATATAAAACACTTTATCTACTATCTACTACGTATCTATAATACCTAAGAGATAGGCGCTAATAGTAGTAGAAGTAATTTATTTTAAACTTAGCTTAGTATAAAAAGTAAACTAGATTTAGACACTAATAGTTAGACTAGCCTCTTACTATACTATAAAGATAAAATACGTAATATAAAGTAGCTATTTCTCTAGACTAGCTACTAAAAGTAACTTACTAGAGACTTTATTAGTGCTATATATCTAGATAGCCTAGCCTTTTAAATTATTAATTTTCTACGCTTATTTTAAAAGTTTATATTTTATATTACTAAAGATAAGCTCTTTAGTAGTAGATTAATTTACTTTCTTACTATTATAGATATTAATAAGACTACTAACTACTTATAAGAAGCTTATAATTACTTTTATATACTAGTAGAAGTAGTGTACTATATACGCGTATTAGCTATTAAAATTCTACTTTCTATAGCTAATTACTAGTAGTAGACTAAGTAAGATAGAGAAAATTTTATCTAGGTAAGAAAGTAGTACCTAGTTAATAGTATATATAGCCTTTTAAGTAAGATACTAAGCCTTTTAGTATATTTAAAGTATATTATATTAAATACTACTAATACCTCTATCTTATAGTAGTCTAAAGATAAAAGTACTTTATATATATATAGTTAGCTAATCTTATTAACTAGTTTTTAAGTAATAGTTACTAGTATACTATAAAAGAGAGAGAACATTCTTTAGAAAAACTTACTTTAGACTACTATAGAGGTAGAGTAATTTTAAATACTACTTATAAAGATTTAGAATAATATTACCTTTAGCTAAAAAGGCTACTTCTTTCTTTTATACTCTAATAATAAATTAGTAGATAGTTTAGAAGAAACTATATCTAAGATACTAGCTAGTTTTTAAGGCTATAAACTATATAGTTTCTAAAATTCTTTCTAGTAACTTTAGGTAGTACACTACTACCTAAAAAAGGTAGACTAATTTCTTAAAATTCTTCTCTTTCTTACTTATATTACTAGTAGGTAGCCTACTAGAAGTACTAAAATTACTTTTATCTACTATTATAATAGCTATATATAAGACTAAAATATATTTATTATAGATAGCTAGGTAGTATTTATTAGCTAGTATTATAAAAGTTAAGCCTTATAGAATAAGTCTAAAGTTATTCTATAGTTTTTACTCTAGTAAG